CCCAGCTGCTCCGGGCAGCTGTTGAAGGGCTGCTGTTGTTGGCTTAAGAAAAACACGTTTGTTTTACTTAACGTACCAGCTTGTAAACTGCTGCGTTTCAGTAGCCACCCATGCCACTGAGGGACCAGCGAGGGAAAGGAGACTAGAACTACACAGAGTAAGCTGACTGACTGTGAGCCATGACCCCAGTGAAAGTCCCGTGTCCAAAAGTAAGGCTCAAGTTTTAACTACACTCATTCAATGTACTCATGTTTTCACAATCTGAGCTTAAATGTAACTTGATTGATTGAGGTAGTACTGTTTTTTTTTCAATTTCTTTAGAAAAATAAGTAGTAACAATGAATTTAGGTGGTCATGAGCTACGGATGCTTTTATAAGAAGTGTTATTAATGGACAGACCAACAATTTCCACCAAAACCATGATCCTCTATCACATCAGTATCAACTGAAATAGCCCGCCCAGTCACACCAGCTTAAGATGGAAACTGCAGTCTCTCAACCAGTATTTTTACAAGTATGAACTCCACTATTCTGTAAATGTCAAATGAGTCCATATTCTACTAAAGCCAACTCTTTCCCCCTTCCCCTAAATACCACACACCATGTATGACACAGAAGTTAAGAATATTACAAATCAAATGCATGATTTCCCACTAATCTCAGTGGGAGTTTATAAAACCCATTAAATGCAGGATAGTTTCCCCAAGAAAAAAAAAAAAAAAAAAAAAGTTTCCCCAAAAAAAAAAAAAAAAAAAAAGGCAAGATCCTATTTCTCAAGGTTAGTATTCTAATAAGATCTCTCGGTCTTAACAATTTAAAGCTTCATCACAGTTGAAAGTTTCTTCTTCTATGATTATACAGTTATCTTTTTATATTACTATTATTATTATATATACATATTTACACACACTCATATATTCAAATATGTTCTTTGACTACACATATATAGTTCCACTAATATAAAATGCTGTTTATACTCTTTGTTTTAAAACAAGAATATTCACATGGGGAATTACTCCCGTACAGAAAAGGCAGTAAAATTATATAGTTACAGATCGTTCAAGGTATCTCCAGGTATGTATAAACTCATTTAGAAGACTTCTGCTCTGGGCCTGCCAAATGGGCATTTTCCACGACAGATACACAAAGTTTATTTCATTTTCCCCCCATGAAAGTAAATGGTGTGTTGTACGCAAACAGGAAGATTTTTCCCTCTGGTTAAAACATAAATAAATGCATTTTCCATTTGGATTTGTCCCATTTTCTTCTCAGGTCCTTTCCATTGGACTCATGGAACAGTGTGACAGGAAGGTTTCACAAAATTGAGTCTCAGTAATTCCTGATAAATTAAAATGGTTTAAAGTCCCACTGTAGTGGTTGCTGTAAAGCTGCACTTATCAGGAAAAAAAAAAAAAAAAAAAGTCTTACAAAAAACAAGAGAACACACCCTAAGCAAATGACAAATATTCCTGATTAATTCAATTACCTTCTAGGTTTCATAATTTTTATTTTTTGCTTACAACAGTAGAAATTTTCTCCATCTTCTCCACTTCGAGGCTGCAGTTTCAGAGGATGAAGCTTTCTGCAGCTTAAAGCACACCTGCCCCAGGCTGCCAGCTTCTCCTGCATGTTCCCATCCTACATCCCACTGCTGCTCACTGGTATTGTTAGCACCACTGACAGTAGCCTCATACAGAATATCTCAAGGGTCTAAATGAACTTACCAGCTTTTTTAAAAAAAAAAAAAAACAAACAAAAAACAACAAACCTTATAATACTTGGCAGCACTACACCAAAAGAGCAAGAAGCCTTTGCCTCTCTGAAGTGACAATTCCTGACAAAAAATGGTGAAGTACGAAGATTTTCAGAAGAGTAATAATCATCAAGGAGCAAAGGCGGGTACATTATAATTGTTATTATTTTGTAGCTGCCCTTTAAAGCAGGGAACTAAGGTGATGTAGTTAATTAAAACTACCTGAAAGTCAGCATGACTTGTACAAAGCATTCAAATACAAACATGACATCAGAAAATAAGTGAAACCTGCGGGTGGGAGCATTCCTTCAAGATGACAAGATATATAACATGATATCCCTTTATCCAAAACAATCATACAGTAAAAATTGTCTTTAGAACACCTATTCAAACATTAAGTAGTAGAGAAATAAAACACAAGGACCGGACAAACTGATTCAAAAGTCATACTATACCAGAGCTTAAGTAACTGACAAAACTGCTGTCCCAGCCAGCCCAAGCAAAGGGAGCTTCACTACAGTTATTTACCCAAGAGTACGCCTAAACGGATTCACTATGAAGTGTGGTGTAAAAATACACCTAAAGACGACAAAAGAGAACGGTATCCCCGCTGATCAAACTACCTGACGCTGTAGTGTGAAAGGCCCAAAATGAAAGCAGGAGAACACGCGCAGGCCACGTGTCCCAGGGAGCGGGCAGTGCAACGCCAGTAGTTCCTTCATTACCAGGTTTATGCTGGCGATATCCCACAGACTCTCCACTTACTCTGTGTGAGGTGAGGAGTTGGGCCCAAAGGATACTAGAACCAGAAATGGCTCAGGATACACCAAGAATCCAGTTCTCACCTTTGCACATGAAGATTCATATCCGTGAAGAAATTACTTTTTAAAAAAATCATTTTCTTTAGGAAAGAACACTGTCCTTAAACTGCATCCAGCCTCAGAGTTATGGTATGCATCAGGGCCCTGTAACAATATATTGCCCTGCCATTCACACACGTCGTAACGCTCAGCTCCCATGTTGCTTTCTTATTATCCCATGATTTTTTTAATTTTATTTTTTTACTAGAGAAGAACAAAACCTCCTCAAACTCCCTTAAAAAAAAATAAATGCATGCGTTACTTTTAAGATAGAAAACCAAAAAAGCAGACTGTAAAACCAAGTCAAATCAAACGTCAGCAGCTGCAGCAACATGGCACTAGCAAAGATACAGCAGGGTAAAAAGATCGTGATTTCTTTGTTAATTCTGCTTTTACCAATCTCTCAGGTGACATCCCCTTTCAGAAATATGCACAACACTCCCATAACAAAACACTGGGAAGACAAATAAGGATCCCTTCTGAAGCTACCACACAATCTAGCCTCTCCTCCCCAGAAATAACTATTTTTCTTACCATCACACAAACCCACTGCCATAGCCATACCTTCACCTCCCTGATTTCCTCTACCCACAACTCCAGACACCTGGTAGGATCCTGTCATTTTATTCCGCAGCAGGTCTTCTAAAACCCATCACTTGCTAATCCAGATCTACACCTGAACTCACCTCCTGCACTGAAACATTGCTTTCTTTGCTTCCATTGTAAACCTGAGACTAATCCCCTTCCAATTTTCCTAAATTCTGATGTCCCTTTTAGTATGCCACACCTTTCCTTGAAACCAAATTACAGATTTTAAGAAAGATGCAGTATTTCAGTCAAAAATCCTTCAAAACACTGTCACGATATTGTACTTTATAGTTTCAGTATTTATTTCAATTAGACAGTTTCTCCAAACAAGTAAGATATCTTAAGACACATGTCAAGTCAATACCATTTCAGAGACAAACAAATTATTAGAGAAGTAGCTGTATAAATGCTTGTGAGTTTGTGAAACAAAACATGACCAGCATTTACAGTGTTGACCACCATACTTAGTCACTCCTCAAACCAGTTCCCCACTGAAATCAGTGTCAATAAGAAGGGGCTCTTTAAAACTGCTTTCTACATTTCTTTTGTTTGTTCTGAATTCATCCTCTACATAGAATTTGTACTTAATGTCAGTCAAAAGTGCAGTCTGGAGGGCAAAATGTGCAAGAGGCCTTTGCTGATGAAAGGTCTGAAAAAATGAATCAAGAAATGGAAATATTTCTAGAAGAAGAGTCACATCGTCATTGTAGTAATAAATAAAATGTAATCAGTGAAAACTTTCCACCTTGAAAAGTCGCATCCACCACAGACACTCTTCGGCATCCTTCCTAAAGTTGCCTTTAGGATGATTGTAACCACATGAAATCCTATTAGAAGGTGCTGAACTCCTACATTGTGACTCTTCCGGCAGGCTTCTACATAACAAAAATGCAATGAAGTACCATGCAACTTTTCTCCCCCTTATTATGCAAAATCCTTATCAAATTCAATAGTGTGACTTTGTTCAAAATCCTGACTAACAATGGCACGCAGGAGGTCAAAAGATGTCCTCTTTGTTTTAGTTTCACGTGCTTTTTAGTCTATTAATGTTAAAAGAAAAAGAACCTTCACAGAAATAACCGATAAAGATCAAACCTAAGTAAACAATGGGAAGGAAATTCAGAGTTAAAACTGGTACTTAGCTCTTAACACAAACCATTGTGCCCGGGCACAGTGCAGCAGAATGATCCTGCGGGTCAGACAATGTGCAGGAATAACAAGGTGAGGTAAGAAGCCTTCAGCTCCCCACTTTCCATGCTTTCCTTGGTTTAAGTTCGGGCCAAGGACGTTATTTTAACGCCGTATTTGTATTTCTTGCGAGGAACTACTGGGCAGCCCCCGACTCCTTTGTGCTGCGGGTTGCGAGTGGAATGCAGCATGCGGCACACGTTCCACTCGCAACCAGGAGGACAAAGGATTCACTGATCAGGGGGGACAATTAGTCCCAATTAGGCCTATTTCGCAGCTGAGTGTAAGGACTGGGGGAAGGGAGCTTAAATTTTAAAGCAATGGGTCCCTCAGGCGAGTTAAAGTGAGATCAGCAAAGTGAGTTTCAGAACGTGTACCCTGGTCCTCAGCGCTGGGGCAAGTTTCACGAAGTCGGTGGCACTGCCCCTCCGGCAGGCAGGGTTATCTCAAACACTGCCATCTCAGAAATCTAATAATCGTTTTGCCTCTTAGCTAATGTGACTAACCAATTTTTCCAGTTTTCAACCCACTCCTCCTGCAGCGTTCCCCGTCGCGGTGCACAGGCAGGCTCACACGCAGACACACGCAGAGGCAATGGCAGGAATACTCACATATGCACATGCGGAGGCTGGAACCTGCTCTGATTAATGTTGTAGTGTGTAAACGCCTGCGTTGGGTTGGAGCTGTATTCATCCACCGTTATGGTAACTTTGCCTTGTGAAGGAATTCCATGAGCCATCCTTCCTCCTTATGGACATGAGCAGCTCACAACTTCCCAAGGCCAGGAGAGGGGTAGGGCATGGTGTTCCAGGCTGCTCCCGACTCCCAGCAGCTCCTCATCAACTCCGCACACCTCTGCCAGGAGAGAAAGACAGCACACATGGCTATAAACTCAAAGGAGATGTGAAAACACACAGACATACTACTCGATCCTCTCGCAGTTTCCATTCAAAGACCTTTTTCTATATTTTTAATGTGCCCATCACCCAACTCTGAGCATTCCTATTGATGTTTTTTTTTAATTGCCTCATCATTTAACTCCATCATCATTACATACATCCAAAGGATGAATGAAGTAAGGCTTTATCTTCAGAAAAAAAACCCAAACCCTGTGTTGAAAGCTCCAGCTAAATACTCCACATTTACTATTCTTTATTTTAAATAACATCTTGTGCTAATTGCAGCCATGAAAATTAACAAATGGACCCAGTTTCCTGAAGGACAAATGGCTTTCCACAAATACACATACTCGTTTTCAAGGTCCTGTTTTAGCTTTACAAAGTAAGTTACATCCGAGAGACTTAAGAGAAGCTAATGCAAAGCAGAAAATTTTACAATCGCATGGCAAAAGGTACATCCAAATACCTTTGAATGAAAATACTCATCTGCCCAGAGAAAGGCCAGTATCCAGACAATCTTTAACAAAATACCCATGTTATACTGCACTAGCAATAAAACTGGTTCAGATTCATCACCAGACAGTAATGATTTATCTGACAGATTTAAGTGCGATTTTATGCATAAATATTTCTGCGTAAGATGAAAGAAATATGCTCTTCACTCTCTATACATCCCTATCTTTCACTTCTTCGAAGTGCTCCGAAACATTCTGCATTGAGACTGGAAGCATTCTATAATACAAGTGTAAGCCCAATAGCCAGAAACTTTCCAAACCTGATCTCCACTGAGTTCCCTGCACAGAATCCAAGCTGTAATTTCTTCAATCGATAAACTGAGGATATCTCAGCTGCCTTCCTTTCAGAAGGACTTTGTGAAAATTGATCAGCTGATGTTGGAAGAATACTTTCAAGATGAGCAACACTTTAAAAGCCCTGTTTATGAGGCAGATGCTCAGCTGGGGCGCGCTATCCTAGCAGCAAGGACTTAAATGAAATCGTAACACACTGCATCAGTTGGTTCCCCCCCTTCAGTTGCCACATGCAATAGCGGATTTGTCGTATCTGGTGTGTGAGTTACAGAAGTAAACCAGTGCTTCCTGGGAATACAAAGAGATAGGAAAGAGAAGAAGAGAGGAACCTGAGCCCTGGGTATCAAACTAAGCAATATTTTTCCAGTGCAATATTCCTGGATTTCTCTCAGCTCCCAGACAGAAATATGTTTGCCACGTGTAACATTAAACATTTGGAATCTTTGATTTGTATTCAAAATATATTTTTAATACAAAGACTAATTTCCAGTTTGGCATGAAGCATGATAAAATGCCCTGCAAATGGCAGATGGCCTGCTATAGGCCATTTATTTTACTATTTTACAACCTCAGGCCTATGTGGGCTTCCATATGCTAGTTGGGTTAAGACATTCTGAAACCTTCATTCCAGTAATTAGGTTCTATCCTTCATCTTCTTCAGCATTGGAGGAAGATTTAAAAAAAAAAGAAAAAAGAAAAAAAGAAACTAAACTATAAAGTTTCCATTTAAAACCTGAGTCACACTAGCGAGACAGTGTAACTCCATGACTAAGGTTATGGTCTGCTCTTTGCACTAACCCCCTCGTAAGAGTAAGTGCAATAGTTTCAGGAGTAAAAACCAACAAGGTGAGCTTTACTAAATCAGATCTTTGCAGTGTTAGACGTGATGCAAGATGCGTGCAACAACTGCTCACGAATCATAATGTAGCGGTTACCATACAAAGTTTGCAGCTGTTTCCTTAATTTCCCTTACAATTATATTTTAGTGTTATTTTGCATAACAGTAAAACACAACACCTGCTTCAAATTGCAGTCCTGTTCCAAGTACTGTAATTCTTTTGAGATAGAAACTACGAAGAGTGTGCAACACAGAGCAGCATAATTGCCCTGCACTGAAAAGTAAATACAAATGAAAACATCTTCCTGTTAGAGAAATGACTGTCATTAACAAGAATGGTAGCCATCAAAGCTCCCAGGAAAAAAAAAAAAACAACTAAGTTTTTCTTTTACACAGCAAGAACTTTAGCGTCTGCATAAATTAAGTAGTGTGAAAATTACATGTCTAATGTTATTTTTTCGCAATTAAAAGCTACAATATGAAACATCACGTTAAACCAACAACAAAAATATGCTTGGGCTTTCCGAAAAGCTAAATCACACTATTTTCAGTAATCTAGCATAAAAAAGGTCAGAAGATTAAATTTCATATTATAGTTCACTCGTGGAAAAAAAATCCAATTTGTTCATGCGAGTGAATTATACATAAAGATAATAAGCATTTTTTTACAAGGCTTATAACAATCCATGTTACAGAAAGAAATTACAACTAACTGGCATAAAACAAATGATAAGCGGATACTTGAATAGCTGTATTAAATACTTTAAAGTTGACTTTCAGTAAGATTATAAGTATATAAGCTGCAATTGCTTCCCATTGTTCCAACCTTTAATCTTAAGAATAAATCTCTATGCTTAAATTAAGACAAAGCCGAACAAAGCATCCTTTTAAAATTAAACTCAACAACAAATGCCAGACTGGAAAAAAAAAAGTAAAATTTTAAGCTCACTTCTGTGTCAATTCTCTAATTTCCATTTAGTGCTCCATAGAGTAGTACAGCTCACCTACCAGAAGTATCTAATTTACCTTCTTTACTGTGAACTTTCCTGAAAAAAAAAACCACCAGAAAGGAGCTGAACACTTCAAAACCAAATTTATTTTAGGCCCAAGATTTAAAAAAAAAAAAAAAAAAAAAAAAGATTACACACAGGAGATGAGTACAAAAGAATAAAAGTTGCATTATTTTTCACATCTGTCAAGTAAAACAACGTGCGGTATCTTACGGGGCAGTTTTAAGTAAGACTGACTATATTAGAAAGCTAAATGACGGGGGTTTAGCACGTCGGGTTTCCCCAGATGCAGCTGTTATCCTGGGAGCAACAAACCCTTCCCAGCGCGGCTCCGCACCGAGACCGGAGCTGTGCCATTGTATCCGCCTGCTCGGCTTTACAGGTATAAACCCGCACTTTCTCATTAAGGGGCTGACACAAACTTACGCGCAGCTAATTTTAAATCAGCCTGCTACCGCCGTGTCGAAAAACTATCACAAAATATGCCCTGATAAGTCAATGTAAAACGTAACGCTGTATTTCCCGGAGAGCCGCACACACAAGCTCTACGTACGTACACGCACACACAGGCACGCGAAAAACGCATTTCCCCCGAATAAAATATTTACGCCTTCCTCCTCATCTGAATTGCACAAACGTGCCGCCGGGCTGGTCTCGGGGGCGTAAAAGAAAATTTGGGAAGGCAGAAGGTGGAAAGGGTTAACCGCGTGTCAACACCTTCCCTCGCTACATCCACCATCCCGACACCGGCACCGCAGACCCACGCGTCACCCCCCCGCACCCCCGGCCGGAGCGCGGGC